CAGCTAGTAACTGAAATACTGCTTATTTGAACCCATCAGCTGCTCCATGAAAGAAAGATTAAGCAATGTCCTTCTATAAAGATTTATTGCCTCAGAAGCCAATAGATGCTTGCCATGAATTAGAATTGATTCCAAGGCGGTGAGTTTGCATTTGGTTAAATCCACTGGTGCAAATATTTAAACACTTGACTGTTAACCCAGAAAGTTGGAAGTTTGCACCTGCCTGGTAGCTCATTTGGAAGATACCTGGTGATCTGCTCCCATTAAAGAAGATTGCTCTAAACCCATATGGCATTTCTATTGTGTTCTTAGGTGTCACTATGCATTGAAATAAAGTCATCAATAGTTCCACTTGGTGACATTTCACAGATGCACAATATCATATGCTCAAAGAAACCCTCACTTGTCTTACTTACATTTTTGTCTCGTGCATCCTATTGTTGTTATGAATCGGAACTGACCCATAGCTAACTCTCCAGTGGGTCTTCATAAGCAGTAAACCACACAGCAGATGGCCTGTCCATCTCTCCTCCATGGAGCTGTGGATTTAAGCCATGTACCTTTGGGACTGTAGTGCAGTTTCTTCCCCTGAAGCCACCAGAGTTCTGTGCATCCTACCCCTACACAAATTGTTATGTCCATCAAAGAATGAGAGAGCTGAGTTTTGCTCAATTTTAATTTCTAACAAGCAAATTCAGTCTGTAAATATATGACTGTGTATACCAATGAGCTCAGTGCTTGTTTTCTTGGGAGAATAATGCCTGAAGGAAACAATGCAGCATTATCTCAGATGAAGACTTGCTCTGTGCTTTCAGCCTAAAGGTCAATTTACTCACCCTTAGAACATTGGTGTGGGTGAGGCGGCAGAAGCCAAGGGCTTTCAAGCATCCACCCTGGACCAACTCCAATAAAATAGAGACATTATCTTCTAAATTTTTTTTTTAATGACTAATTTATTTGAATGACCTGACACTGTGGAAGCCTTTTTTCACAGTTCAAAAACTTAATTTATGCATGTTGCTTATGGAAAAGGTAAGAATTGGTAAATGAAGTGTGAAATGGTATGTGTGTGTAGCTACCTGTGTGTCCCTTTTTAAGGTGTTGTTGTTGTTGTTGTTATGTGCCGTCGAGTCGATTGCGACTCATAGCGACCCTATGTACAACAGCTCTAAACTCTGCTCTGTCCTGTGCCAATCTCATTGCCTCCGACACACTCATCCCGAATGCTCCAGTCACCAAATCAATCCATCTCCCAGAGGACCTTCCCCTCCTGCACCTGCCCTCCACCCTCCCAAGGATGATGTCCTTCTCCATGGACCGGTCTCTCCTTAAAACATGACCAAAGTATGTCAGACAAAGCCTCAGAATCCTTGCCTCCAAGGAGCAGCCCGGTTTAACTCTCCAGGATGAATCTGTTTGTTTTCTTAGCAGTCCATGGCACCCTCAGCACTCTTCTCCAACACCAAAGCTCAAAAGCATCAACTCTCCTTCTGTCCTTTGTGGTCAAATCAGTATATATTCGCTCATGCAAAGTGCTCCTATTTTTGTTAAGTGCCATCAAGTCAATATTGGCTGATATTGACCACATGTGATGGCCTGCGTGTGTCAGAGTAGGACCGCTCCACAGGATTTTCTAGGCTATAATCTTCTTTATAGGAACAGAGTGAAAAGCCTCTCTCTTATAGAGCTATTGGAGGTTCCAAACTACCAACTTTTTAGTTACTGGCTAAGTGCTTAATTGTGGTACCACTAGGGCTCCAATACAAAGTCCCAGTATGCAGTATTATCAAGAAAAAACCCTGATCAACTGGCTTCGGTGGGTTGGTAAGGCTCACTTTTAATCAGCAGCATCTACATATTTTGGGTAAGTCTTATGTGGTAGCACAAATATTCATAGTCTTGCCCGAGTGCTATAGTGGTTTAAGTGGTGGTCTGCTAACCAAATGATCAGTTATTGGAACTCATCAGTTACTCTGTAAGGGAAAAAATCAGACACTATCATTTACATCCTTGAATGCTTTATGAAGTTCTATTCTTTCCTATCAAATCACATGTGTTACAATTGACTGGGTCACAGTGGGTCGAATTGTCTCAATTTGATAAAATGCATCTCTAATGCGACTTAATTGAGAGACATTTACTGCTTTACAAGTTTTCTTTTAAGATGGACATGAAGACTTTGCTCCAGTTTTTGAATTTATTTTTCTGTCTCCTGCGCACTAAATTAAAATGAATAGTCCATACAGCCGTATGCTTTTGGGTAGAGCCATTCTGGATTTATAAGTGGACAAACTTTCAGACTGGCTGTAATGCATTTATACAGTCTCTTTTTAGCTCAATTCCTTTTAAAATGAAATAAGCAACCCACACAATTAGCCACAGTACATTGTTTCTTCACCTCAACTCCTGCTTGGTCCTTCATTTTCCATCTAACTCTATTCTTAAAGAATGTGCAAAGGTGATTTCCAAATTAAATAAATGAACTAGTGGGTTTCTGTAAGCCCGTAAGTCGCCTGTCCATCTGATGTTCAGCTTCTATATCTGACTGATGAACCAGTCGGAGACCAAGGACAGCCCCAGGTGGCCTGGTTTTCACTTTTCCAACTGTCCACACCAGTAAGCTTCCAGCCCTCAAACTTG